GGAATTGGTCAGGCTGAAACCAAAAATTACTTTTCCCATTTAAAAAAAAAAAATTGTATGTATTATATTAGACATTTTAATTAGTTTAAAGGAGAACTATGAGATGAGTGATTTCCACTCACCTCATAGTTCTAAGATTTAAAATAATCTGCATTATAAAACTCCAAGCCAATACAATATAGTAACCAACCTTTTTTTTTAAATAACACACCAAAGTTACTCTTACTCTGGTGCACGCGGCGATACCCGACATGTGTAGCTCAACTGTCGTTTTCATTCACTTCACTAGGGAATGACAGCTGCCTGCTGAGGCTGCTATTGCAATTAAAAAAAGCCAATAGCAGGCTGGTTATTGCTACCAGCCACTGGATGGGAAACTCGACGCCAGATTTCTACAGCCAGCAGAAGAGAGGCACGGGGCAGCATTGGAGGCACGGGGACATACTTCCCATTACCATACCCTTAACCCTCTCCACACATTGCCCATTCATATACCCTTCACACTGCCCTTCTGCACACATTGCCCATTCATATACCCTTCACACTCCCCTTCTGCACATATTGCCCATTACAATACTATTTACACTCCCCCTCTGCACATACTGCCCATTACCATACCCTCCACACTCCCCCTCTGCACATACTGTCCATTACAATACCATGCACACTCCCCCTCTGCACATACTGTCCATTACAATACCATGCACACTCCCCCTCTGCACATACTGTCCATTACAATACCATGCACACTCCCCCTCTGCACATACTGCCCGTTACCATACCATGCACACTGGCGGTTACCATACCATGCACACTCCCCCTCTGCAAATACTCCCCATTACCATACCATGCACACTCCCCCTCTGCAAATACTGCCCTTTACCATACCATGCACACTCCCCCTTTGCACATCCTGTCCATTACCATACCATGCACACTGCCCCTCTGCAAATACTGCCCATTACCATACCGTGCACACTCCCCCTCCTAAAATACTGTCCATTACCATACCATGCACACTCCCCCTCTGTGCATACTGCCCATTACCCTACCATGCACACTCCCCATCTGCACATACAGCCCATTACCATGCCATGCACACTCCCCCTCTGCACATACAGCCCATTACCATACCATGCACACACTGCCCATTACCATACCATGCACACTCCCCCTCTGCACATAGTGCCCATTACCATACCATGCATACTCCCCCTCTGCACATAGTGCCCATTACCATACCATGCACACTCCCCCTCTGCACATAGTGCCCATTACAATACCATGCATACTCCCCCTCTGCACATAGTGCCCATTACCATGCCATGCACACTCCCCCTCTGCACATACAGCCCATTACCATACCATGCACACACTGCCCATTACCATACCATGCACACTCCCCCTCTGCACATAGTGCCCATTACCATACCATGCATACTCCCCCTCTGCACATAGTGCCCATTACCATACCATGCATACTCCCCCTCTGCACATAGTGCCCATTACCATACCATGCATACTCCCCCTCTGCACATAGTGCCCATTACCATATAGCTCGCGGTATACTGAGCTTAGGGTAACGGGAGGACGCTAGTTTGTGTCCTCCCGTTACCCTAAGGAGAACTATGGGGAAAAACACTGACCGCATAGTTCTCCTTTAATGGATTTAAAATAATCTGCATTATAAAACTCCAAGCCAATACAATATAGTAACCAACCTTTTTTTTTAAATAACACACCAAAGTTACTCTTACTCTGGTGCACGCGGCGATACCCGACATGTGTAGCTCAACTGTCGTTTTCATTCACTTCACTAGGGAATGACAGCTGCCTGCTGAGGCTGCTATTGCAATTAAAAAAAGCCAATAGCAGGCTGGTTATTGCTACCAGCCACTGGATGGGAAACTCGACGCCAGATTTCTACAGCCAGCAGAAGAGAGGCACGGGGCAGCATTGGAGGCACGGGGACATACTTCCCATTACCATACCCTTAACCCTCTCCACACATTGCCCATTCATATACCCTTCACACTGCCCTTCTGCACACATTGCCCATTCATATACCCTTCACACTCCCCTTCTGCACATATTGCCCATTACAATACTATTTACACTCCCCCTCTGCACATACTGCCCATTACCATACCCTCCACACTCCCCCTCTGCACATACTGTCCATTACAATACCATGCACACTCCCCCTCTGCACATACTGTCCATTACAATACCATGCACACTCCCCCTCTGCACATACTGCCCGTTACCATACCATGCACACTGGCGGTTACCATACCATGCACACTCCCCCTCTGCAAATACTCCCCATTACCATACCATGCACACTCCCCCTCTGCAAATACTGCCCTTTACCATACCATGCACACTCCCCCTTTGCACATCCTGTCCATTACCATACCATGCACACTGCCCCTCTGCAAATACTGCCCATTACCATACCGTGCACACTCCCCCTCCTAAAATACTGTCCATTACCATACCATGCACACTCCCCCTCTGTGCATACTGCCCATTACCCTACCATGCACACTCCCCATCTGCACATACAGCCCATTACCATGCCATGCACACTCCCCCTCTGCACATACAGCCCATTACCATACCATGCACACACTGCCCATTACCATACCATGCACACTCCCCCTCTGCACATACTGCCCATTACCATACCATGCACACTCCCCCTTTGCACATACTGCCCATTACTATACCATGCACACACTGCCCATTACCATACCATGCACACTCCCCCTCTGCACATAGTGCCCATTACCATACCATGCATACTCCCCCTCTGCACATAGTGCCCATTACAATACCATGCATACTCCCCCTCTGCACATAGTGCCCATTACCATACCATGCACACTCCCCCTCTGCACATACTGCCCATTACCATACCATGCACACTCCCCCTTTGCACATACTGACCATTACTATACCATGCACACTCCCCCTTTGCACATACTGCCCATTACCATACCATGCACACTGCCCCTCTGCAAATACTGCCCATTACCATACCGTGCGCACTCCCCCTCTGCAAATACTGTCCATTACCATACCCTCCACACTCCCCCTCTAACCATACTGCCCATTACCATACTCTTCACACTCCCCCTCTGCACATACTGTCCATTACTATACCATGCACACTCCCCCTCTGCACATATTGCCCATAGTCATACCCTTCACAGGACTGAGGCATCAGCATGTCAGCCTGTACTCTAAATTGGGAGCAAGCAGTCTAGGGTGACAATGCTGCTCCTGTATAAATGCACAGTCAGTGACTGTTACAGAACAAAAGACCATAAGCGCACAACTGATACTTGGACACTGAAAAATCACGGGCTATGAATTGTGGTGTGCAAGCTCTCACTGACAGGGAGAGGACCCTGCAAATTCAAATGGTAAACAAAAACAAACAAAAGAGAGCGCTACTACCTGATTGAATGGCGTCTATTCATGAAGGAAAGAACACATGTGTGTAACTTCCAGTTTGTAGTCCAAAGCCGAATGCTGCAGCAGTGGATTGATGAGGGGGCGATGTGAGGTTTCTTAGCGGCACGCGTGCACGGCTGGCCAGGCCGGGCCACGGCGGCTAAGAGGGGTAGGACATTAATACAGTCGTCACAGCTGGACTGGTAAACTGCAATATATTCAATTTTTGCTTTTGGGTTTACATGCACTCTAACCCGTTTGCTTTCTCTGATGTAACTATGTCAGCAGCAACGCTGGTACTTTTTCACCTTGTGAAGCCAATAATCACTTCTACATTGCAGACGAAGGTGATATCTGCCATGTTTTCTGAGCTCACCTGGAGTTTACCAGCACATGTGGCTGAAAAGTGATGGGGCCAGAAGGTTGCCAACACCCGTGGCTGGAAAATAATGGGATCTGGAGGTTGGCAGTACCGGTGGCTGGAAAGTAATGGGACCTAGAGGTTGGCAGCACCCGTGGCTGGAAAGTAATGGGAACCAGGAGTTTGCCAGCACCTGTGGCTGGAAAGTAATGGGACTGGATGATTGCCAACACCTGTGGCTGGAAAGTAGTGGGACCTGGAGGTTGGCAGCCATGGCAGGAAAGTAATAGGACCGAGAGTTTGCCAGCACCTGTGGCTGGAAAAGGATAGAACCTGGGAGGTTGCTGGCACCTGTGGCTGAAAAGTGAGAGGAGCAGGAGGTTGCTGGCACCTGTGTCTGAAAAGTGAGAGGACCTGGAGGTTGCTGGCACCCATGGCTGGAGGGAGAGAGGACGAGCAAACTTCAGTGCAGTTTCAAGGCAATGAGGCTGACAGGAAGTGGACTGAATGATGCTGGGCATCGTTCAATCTGGAAGAGTGCTGGCACTGGGGGCTGCATGGCGAGTCTGCTAGGGACATCACCAGAAAAGAGAGTATTGTAGCTGAAGCTGCTCTTTAAGGGCAGGACAATGGGATTTTGTTTTTTTTTACTGGACTTGTGTTTTAAGACTTGGTTCATTTTATACATTAGATTCTCCTCACTCCCCGGCATTCAGATGAGTTCCCCTTCTGACAACAGTACTCAAGTAGCAGCAGACAGGTTGTTTGTGAAATCCCCCCACATCCTCGTATACTGTACTGTATGAGTTCCCTGACATCATGTTGGACACCACTGCTGCCATACGTGTCTTTTCAGCTGTTTGCTCACAATTAAAGGGAACCTGTCCGGCTGCCACTGCAGCTGCCCTGTTTATGCAGGCGGCACATGCTGCTCTCCAGTCCTGCAGGCCCCTCGGGGGTCACTGGAGGTTAGCAGACAGTAGTGTCTGGGCTCGGCCACACAATGATCATACATTAGCAGGTGACCCCGGTGCTCGGCTCAGCGTTGCCGGGACTTGATACAGATGTTCGCTCCGACACGACAGTCTCCCAGTCACTGCAGCTGACAGCCTGTCGACCTTCAATCCGAGCGCCATCACCTGCCCAGGCCCCCCGTCCCCGGCCGAACCGCACTTACCAGGTGTCCCCTCTTCGAAGCGGGGTCTTCAGCAGCGTTGACACTTCTGCTCTCTGAGTCTCCAGATCAACCACTCCGCCCTCCGCCATCTTCCTGCACTGACAGCTGCGCGCTGCATTCTGGGAGTGACGTCACTGCTGGGAAGTAAGGGGAACCGAACGAGCGGCTGTGTGTGCGGTATGAGTGTGTCTGGGAATCACCGGGGACCATCGCTGGGAGGTGGGCTACACCAGGATAAGCAGTGCCAGGCTAAAAGCAGGCTCATGTATATATGTGATCAGCTTTGCTGAGCTCACTATTTTATCAGCCTGGATAGTGATATGGTAGCTGACATTGGGAATTCTGTTGAACTTGGCCTGTCATCTTTATCCTTTCTTCATTTCTTACAGAGTTATAAAGCTGGCCATACACTGCTCCCATTCTGGCCCAGTCCTGCTGACTTTTTCATCAACTTTTGTCAAAGGAGATGGCCAATCAGCTGCAGTCAAGCCCCTTTCACGAGAGCAGTCCAATCAGGTCCACCTATCAGTTTTTTAGGTCTGATCCAAAGCTCAATGTTAGTCTATGGCAGGGGCTGACTGGCAACTTTTAGCCCAGGGGGCAAGTACAACCCAGAGGCCCATGGTGCGGCAACTTGAATGGGCAGCTGGATCTAAAACAATGTCTCTGATTACCCACCACTCTGTCTAGGTCTGGAAAACGACCTGATAGTGACAGAACGGGGCTAACTCAATGTAAATTGACACTCACGTCCACCTTCCCATTGATCTAAAGGTGCACATACACCTTGCTTGCAATCATCTGCAGATTTTTGTCTGTGATCGCATTTCCGTCCGAAAATCTGCCAGTTGATGGGAAGTGCACAACCACAATTACTGTATAACTGGCAGATTTTTAAGTCTTTCAAGCAGGCTAGAAAACTTTAGTCTAGTTGGACGAAAATTGACAGGTTAGTAGCGTTGTTGTACAACAGAAATTTCAAGATGCAAACTGCAGATGCTTAAATGAAAACTCTGTTCTTTCTATCGATGAAAATCAGACAGGTGGAGGTGCTGACGAGCGTTAATTGCAAACTACATTGGCCTGTGCATGATGGGCTAGTTGGATCTAAAACAATGTATCTGATTACCCACCACTCTGTCTAGGTCTGGAAAACGACCTGATAGTGGTCGTTTTCGATAGACCTCGCATCACCTTTCAACATCTCGTGGAGTCACGAGGCGGCCCAACAAAGTCATCTCGTGGCCCAACGAAGTACTGATGGGGTGGTCATAATAATCTGGCCACTCAGTGTATATGTACTGTACATATACAGTACATATAGAATGCACTGCAGCAATAGATTTACAATTCTGCACTGCTAATCTGAATGGGTTAAATGATCCGTAGTACAACTACATGTTATGTACTATGGATCATGATTTAACCTATTCATGTTAGCAGGGCAGAATTGTGAGCGCCTCCCACAAGCTGAGCACCGAGACACGATGCAGAGCTCCTGCCCAGCGCCGACTACAAGAGGCACCTCGTGAGGCAACAGGGATTGGAGTGAAACTGTGAGTAAGGGAAGATGGGACAGGGCTGGCTCTAAATCTATTGCTATAGTGTACTGGACGTGTGTAATGTATATGTAGTACATATATACAGCGCACACCTCCACTACACTTACAATTCTCCCCTGCTAACATGATCCATAGTACATAACATGTAGTTGTACTATGGATCATTTAAAGTCACCTTTCCCTTTAAAACAAAGTATCGGTAATTGGTATCAGCAAGTACATGAGGGGAAGTACTTGTACTTGGTCCTGAAAAAGTGGTATCGGGACATCCCTAGTTGTAATGTGTATGGCCACCATAACATGTGTCTGGTAACATCAATTCTGTACTGCCCTGATCGGCAGGAGATCCATGTACCTAGCATATTTCAATTGAAAAAAACGCACAGGGACTGGCCATCATTAAGCGGGCCATACACTAGTAGATTTCCGAACAAACATTCATAAAAAAAGATCTTTCTTTGCCATCATGATAATGCCATCAGACACTTGACGAATGTCGATCGAAATTTTGTTTGATTTTAACATTTGATTTTGGAATGAATGGCGTTTCCGGAATGAAATAAAATCAGTCATCGATTTGACCCCAAGCACTAATAGAAAGTTGAACCAAAGCTCCTTAGTAGGAAAGCTCGTTGGGAAATCTACTAGTGTATTGGCCGGCTTTACTGACTTGGAACAATTTTGTGCATATTGGGGAGTTTAACCCCGAAATACCTCATTTTATGTGTGTAAATATTGACACATTTTCCTCGCATTAAATCAACAATGCCATTACATGGCAACAACGTTTTGTTGTGCCAGCCACGTCATATTACACATATTACAATTGCGGCCGCTCAGCCTGTACAAAGCAATGACAGGATGACAGGAGCCATAGATGTCCACTGCCATTTCCATGTATCCACATATCCAGCAGTTACCGGTGGCTAGGGAATAGCAGTGGACTTCTGCTGCTCCTGTCAGCCTGTCATTGCTTTGTACAGGCTGAGCGGCCACAACTGTCCAAGACCACCTGTGATTCCAGCTGCAAGAATCCTCTGCAGGACCTCATTATCCCTACTGGATGAGACCTAAAGGTGCTATGCAACAGTTTCTATTAATGTCTGAGCACGTGCGACAAGTAGGGATGCACCGAAATTGCGGCCGCCAAAACATATTGGCTAAAGATGGCACTTTTGGCAAAATGCCAAAAGTGCCTCCTCTGACCGATCAGGATGGAGAGTGGTGTGGGGGCGAAGACAGCTGTGCGCTGTCACAGGAGCCCGAGCCAGTGGTGTGGGGGAGGAGTAAGCTGTCAAAATAGACCAAGCTCTCCTCCCCACCCCACCAGCTCACCCTCTCGTGACAGCAAGTCAGGATGGAGAGCGGTACAAGCAGTCAGCCATCAGTGATCACTTATTGTTTGTAAATAACTGGACATAGTATGAGTTACTCTGTACAAGTTATGAATAGGAAGTGATATACCTGTATACATCACTTCCTATTCATTCATGATTGTGTACATAGTAACTCATACTATATTCATAATGTATAAATGAACAGGAACACTCAGTATAGAGGCTTCCTGTTCATTTAAAACCGGGACTGCAGAAAAAGGTGGTGGACTTTGTGTCCTCAATCTCTTTTTCTATTATAAAAGGGAAAGATAAGGGATCTGTTTAGAACCCTAATATTTCCCAGAAGCCCCCAACAGTAAAGTTAAAAAATAAAAATATTGTTCTGAGAGTGGACTAATACATCATACACTTTATCTAACTTATAAGCTTCGAATCCAACCTTCAGAGTCCTTTGTCCCTCCATTTTTGAGAAAATGGGCAGAAGACCTTCAGATGACACTGACTGATAACCAACAAAATCACATTTTGTGTTTTACCCACCATGCTTCCATTGCTAGTAGAGTTCAAGAGACTATAAATCGCTTATCCTTGGTCTTACACAGAATATATCCCCACACTTCTTCTACATGTTGGCGTTGTGGTACAACTGAGGGCACTGTGCTTCATGTATTCTTGTCATGTCCTGACTTAACTGGTTTCTGGGCAGAGGTACAGGAAATTGTGAAACTTTTAACTGGAGCGGACCTGGGGACGGAACCTGCAGTCTTTTTTTCCACCTTACTAAACTCTCGAGAAATAGATACAAGAGATCTCTTTTGATCCACCTCCTGAATGCAGCAAAACAATCCATCCCACTCTCTGTAAACAAACCTGTCCTCCAACCAGAGCCTTATAGTCTAAAATCAGGGAGATAGAACGTATAGAAAATCTTACTGCCTCCTTGCACAACCGGGAAGAGGAGTTCAATTTAACCTGGTTCTGTTGGCGCACATACACATTTTCTGAGGCGTACAAAAATACTAGCGGTTCACTATAATGAAAATTTTCAAAACCGAAATGAAAAAAATGTCAGGCCGAAACCGAAAATGTATTTTTATTAATTTTTTATAAACTCTCTTTTTCTGCAGCCCCTGTTCTAAATGAACAGGAATCCTCTGTACCAGGGGTCAGCAACCTTAAACACTCAAAGAGCCATTTGGACCCGTTTCCCACAGAAAAGAAAACACCGGGAGCCACAAAACCTTTTTGACCTCTAAAATAAAGATAACACTGCATATATCGTTTTTTACCTTTTATGCTATGTATATAGGTATATGTGGGCTTAGTAACGCACTGGACTCTGGGCTTAGTAACGCACTGGACTCTGGGCTAAGTAACGCACTGGACTCTGGGCTTAGTAACGCTCCTCATTCAGACTCACCTGCCAAGCCTCACAGCCAGCATCCCAGCCAGGCAGTGTGCACTGCAGGGGGCGGGGCATGTGACACACACTTCTCTCCCGCCACCTGTACTAGGGATGCGGCCGGGAGAGGTGGTGAGTCACAAGACCCGCCCCCTTACTGAGAAGCCCGTCGTCAGTGCAGGGCCCCGGGACCCTGCACTGCCGCATATTCCACCAGGGGGGGTGCCCAGGACCGGACCTCACTGGGCCCCCCCAGCCTGAGGCCCCAGGGGTAGTTCCGCCCCTGGACAGGGAGCCGCAGCAGAGGGATGAAAGAGCCACATGCGGCTCCGGAGCCGCAGGTTGCTGACCCCTGCTCTATACTGAGTGTTCCTGTTCATTCATAATATGTGGCTATAGTGTGTTTACTATATCCACAATCATGAATGAACAGGAGGTGATGTAGATCACTTCCCATTTATTCATAATTGAGGATATAGTAACCATACTCTGTCCTCAATTATTTACAAACACTCGGGCGAGCGGTGCAGGGAGGAGAGCTCGATCTGACAGCTGACTCCTCCCCCGCACCGCCGGCCAACTTCCTACACAGCAGCTCTCCTTTGATCTGTCACAGGAGGCTGAGCAGTGTGGGAGGAGAGACGCCGGCCGCTCACAGCGCTCTCCTCCCACAGCGTTTGTCCGTCTGTGACAGTTTCTCTCCTCCTAACTGGGACACAGAGCAGCGCCCAGCGGGGAGGAGAGAAAGAACAAATGCGCAGCTATATCGGCAGAAAAATTGCACTTTTGGCATTTTGCCTTTTAGTTTCTCCAACCTTTTATAG